TAAAAAATTATATTTAAAATTTGATGCTAATAATAAATACATTTAATAATAATAAACTTACTTGTAATGCTCTTTGAATTTTTAAAAGACTAATACATATGTTATAAAGACTATTCCATCATGTATCCCTAGAAATAGCTATTGCAATATATTTTTTATAAGTTTCTCATTGTTGATCTCGTAAACGTCCAATAAAAAACTTATGATTTGCATTTTTAAAATAAGTGGTAAGCTGGATTGCATGACCAATTGATATCTTGAACTCAGAAGATTCTTTGAAAATCTCTCCAACGCAAAGGTTTAGTTAGTGAGCAAAACATGGCAAGAATATAATTGATCTATTAGATATTCTTAATCGACGCCTAATAATAAATAGAAAAATAAATAAACTTAGTAATTAAAAGGAATAAATAAATTTTAACATATCGAGCTGTTGATGCACTATCAGTAACAATAGCACAAACAGTAATTCCTTTTTTCTTTAAATCTTCAAGCATTGTTTCAGTTTTATTCATTACTCTAATATAATTCTCACGCTCAGAACTTATATTTACTGCTTTTCAAACATAAGGTTTTCCTTCTGAGGTTAATAAGACTGTTCCTAATAATTGTTTATTATTGATATTGGTCTAACCATCAAAAGTAATAGTCACACCTACAGGATCTTCTATAAGTGCAGTTTCCATAGCATCATCTAATTCTGTAACAACTTTATTTAAGATATTACCACCAAGAACACGATGATCAGGTAATTTAAGAAAAGGATTTAAAATTCAAATAATTCCTTTGCTTTAGATTTATTAACCCATGATAATGTCCATCTACAAGAAACTGTAAGTCGAAGTAATAACATGTAGAATTTCTTCAAATCTTCTTTAGATAGACTTCGGACAATGAAATTATCCATAGACTCATAATATGAAGACCGGTTGATTATTTTATGAGATGATAGATATGATGATTGTTGTGATGATATAGAATCTAAAATAATATTATAAGTTTATAACAATAAATTTTATTTAAGCAATATAGTTATATAAATATAAAATTAAAATTAAAATACTTACATGATCTTTTATTAGGAATTAAGCTTGGAATATTATTATCATTAGTATCTGCTTCTTTACTTCATAAAAGTGCAAAGACTACCACTCGTTCTTCTTCATTTGTTTTGGCAAGAAAATGGGAACACTTTTTGAAATGTTGAATAATTCGATCTGTTTTGTTTGGAAATGAAATCTTACATCCCTCTTCTTCTCCAAATGCTTCTATGCATGCTTTGCAGAAGGTTTTGAGATTACTTTTATTTACCTTTTCATCCATTTTAACAAATATTTAGTTAGTAAAGAGGGAAACAGCATATTTAAAAATTTTTTTTTTGTGGCTTAGCGTGAACCGGTGGACGTTCCGGACAATCCTTGAAAAATCACAGACATGTCCCACTTAACAATGATAATACAGGACATGTGATCGGACGAAAATCCTGAACATGTCCTGGAATGTTCGTGTCTGCCCGATTTTGGCGGACAGTGTCCGCTGTACAACACTGTTAATGAGTGTAGCAAATAATGATGTAACAGCTCTATCATTTTTAAAAAACCACTTATTAGGTGACTTCTATACATAAATGAAAATCGCTAACCCTGTTGATATAGATGCATACTTTACAGAACTAAAGAATCTATGGCTAGAGCGTAATCCTGTTATAAGTTTAAGTGGAGCGAATTCCTATGGAATTACGTCTATTTAACAAACAATAGAGACACTATCTATTCTGAAAAAAAATGATTTTAAAACACGTCTAGCAAAGATTTAATATATGCTGAAATAGCAATGGATGATAAAACTTTAGAAAAATTCATTTACGAAGAACTTGGTAGAAGACTAGGAGGTAAAACAGTTTATATTAGAAAGAGACTCTTTGTAGAGCCCTAGGTTAAAAAATAAATGCTACAAAGAAAGTTATTAGAAAAGTAGTACAAAAAGCACCAGTTAAGCAAATTATTCATCTTTGCTCAGTCTGTAAAAAGGCTAGCCATACAAAGTTAATTGTCCTGGAGTCAAGCGGGTTAAAAAACTTAATCATATATACTAAGATAAGAAAAAACCTGAAGATTCTGAAAAAGAATATATAGATGAGAAAGAAGTTGGTGAGGAGGAAGAAGAGGAAATAGAAGATGACGATGAATATGTTGAATATGTTGAATATGTTGATGAAAATGATGACGAACCTCAAAATTGCTATGCATCAAAAAAAAGTGGAGTGAAATAGAGTACCAATGAAAAAGAGTATCAAGCCAAAAGAAGGAGCAACCAAGAAATCCCCTACTTTCAAATCTCGTGTTAGAAAAGCATCAGGCAATATAATAAGCTGTAGCCAAAGGGTTCTTTGAACTAGACATTTCACATGACTATAGATCAAACGTATCAAATAGCCTTAAAATCTATAATATTATCAGTAGTCTCCTATTGTCCTAAAGAGATTCTTATAGAGAAAAAAAGGATTGAAAAATAAATATAAAGCAACATAATTATAGATAGAATGTAGGCAATTATAAGTTTATCACTATTATAAATGAACCTTCACACACTTATATTTTAAGTTAAAATAAGACAAATGCCATAGGTTATATAAAAACTTTGTACATTGATACTTATTAGCAAATATTCTAGTATGTGTGTATATTTAAAATCGAAAGTAATTTTGTCACTAATGTAAAATAAAATTGAATAATCTTTCTATGAAAATTATTCAATATAACAGCATTTTATTATATATATTTATAATATTAATATTAAATTACATTAGTTTTAACTGCAAAAAATATAGAAAATATCAAATTTACTTTAACACTTTAATATAATTAATTATCTAATATATTTACAACTATAATACTTGCAATATTAATATCTTATCATTTGGTATTTAGTTAATACACCAAGTAATGAATTTATATTACTGTGTCAAAAGATCTACTATATAGTCATTATACTCCTACTTAATTTGACATCCAGAGTGAGCATCATAATGCCTTTCAATTTTGGGATTAAGATATAAGAAATATCTTATTATTGCATGATCAATCCTACCAACCCAATAATAATCAACAATTTTAATATCTATTTCAACATCATCATTATTATCTATCTTTTTTATTTGATAGAGAATGTTTAGATCTCTCAAATCACTATATAAAAATCCTATACCATACATCTTTCTAACAGCTTCTTTAAAAATCCTCTTGATTTCTGTAATACATATAGAGACAAATGTTCATAATTATTTAAATTCTTCATCACAATCATATGCTATCTTCCTGAAACATTCTGATGACCAAAAAAGTGAGAAGTAATACTTAAATCTACTCAGATTTTATATGCATCTATTCCATATTATTCTATAAACTTTACAAGTAATTGTTTTGGTATATTGTTATTACTTTTCTGCTCAACAAGAAACAATAATTTATCTTTATACAGTTATTTAAGATAGGAAAGCTGAATACTTATTTCATTTGGAATAGGGGTGAATTAGTTAATATATGAAAACTTCAGTTGTGAAAGAAAAATTTTAGGTAGGTCTATGTAATAACCATCCAATGCATCTAATACTTTTTTAAAAGCACAGAATGTCTGAGCTAAGTGATCTATAAATTTTTAATAGTGATGAAGATAGAATAATAGAAGAAGTAGTGTTAAAGGATCATATAGAAATTTGTCATCAGAAAATATAATGGCTGCAATATCAACATATGAGCCTGAAAAAAGAAAAAAGGATTTAGAAATAATTGAATATATAAAAATTATGAAGATATTAGATCCTAACCTGCAAGATACAATAAAAGATATGGTAAACAGATTTTATTTGCAGTAGAAATTGGAAGAATTGCAACATACTTCACATAGTATATACTAGCTTAAATATAAATACAGGAGTTTCCTACCTCTAATTCTAGTTTTACTTCTATTGTACTTATTATATACATTCCCTTCTTTTCAAAGGAAGAGTCATCTGTTATTATCTTTGCATTTATAAATTGATTAAGACTAACCTCATAATACTTTTAAAATAGTATCTTGAGTACATCTCTTCTTTCATTTTTATTAGTAAATATATTTGACATAGACTCAGTTACATCTAATATAAAGGTATAATCAACATCATTTAGTGTTATAATTTCACAGTCCTCAAGAAAAGTTTTGAAGATAAGATATTAAAGAATGACAGGATTCTTAGAAGTATTAACTGGACAATGATTCAAATAAATAGGGTCACTATTTTATTTTTTTATCCATTCTCTTAGTTTTGAAAGTCTACTTGAAGAGTCTGAATCTTTTACTCTCTTGAAAACTGCTTTTGTATTAAACTTTATATTTTCATCAGTCTTACATTTGATTCCACTCTTTGTAATAACTATTATAAGATAAACAGATAAATGAGTAGAAAAATAATTTTTTTTTACGTAATTTGTTCATTACCTTTTTTATCAAATCCTACTAATGCTTTTTGCAACTCCTTCATTTGCTCCTCCTAACCATCCACCTTCTTCTCCAGTTTTTTTTTTTTTCTTTTAATTCAACTATTTTATTTTTCCATTTTTCTCTTATTTTTTATCCCTATATTCTCGCTTATCTAACTTCTCTTCTAAGTTATCTAATCTCTTCTATTTATCTCCTTCTTTTTACTTCTTCAACTTCTTCATTGTCTTTTTGTACTCTTCTTTAGCATCATTTAATTCTTTATTAATTTGTTCAAACATTGTCATTTTCTTGAATTTAAAAAAATTTAAAAATGAATAATATTTTTTTTATTGATTTAGATCATAATTGTTATAATTAATTGTTTCGACTAATGATAAATTAGTGGGTACATGACTTGCAATTAAAAAAATTTTTTTTTACAGACAAATAAATTAAAATCCAAGAGTTTAATTAACAATTCACAAAAAAATTCATTATTGAATATAAGCATTTTTTTTTAAAATTTTATTATAGATATAAATATTTATTGATTATTTGTTTGCTTTTTAAACCAAAATAAAATTTTTTAATGATGATTATTAGAAGGATTTATTATTTGAATTTTTTTACCTGAAAATTAAGTGAATTGATAATGTTTTTATGTTACAATACAAGGTGGGATTATTTATCTTGTTTTAATATCAATGAGAAAAAAATAAAGACTTATAAAATATATTCTTGAATGTAGTAGAAACTCAAACAATGTTTTTTTATTGATAAGCAATACAATATAATAATCATTAATTACATTTAAATTTTCTTTGTAGAATAGTCAGTAAAAAAAATTGTAATAATAAAATTATTTTCCTTCTAAGAGTTTCTGCTTTTTGTTAGGTAATAGCATACTTTCATTTTGTTTTCTTTTTCCAAGATTTATTATTTTTCTTTCTTGATAAATTTCATAAGTAATCTTTTCTTTTCTTAAATAAGCTTCTAGTGTCTGAGTATCATTTATTTTGAAAATATAAAAAGCAATTTTTTTACCTTGTTTCTTTTTTAAAATACTTTTAATGGTATTATAATTCTTAGATTCTATAGTAGACCTAATGTAAATTAACTTCATATTAACTATTTTTGTTTAGACAAATATCATTGATCATATTGCATTGATAATATAATTGTAATGTTAAAAACACTACTGATCCCTGAAAATTTTGATAATATCAATGTTCACTTTATCTGATTTTGTTGCAGAACAAAATTGCATTAAATACTCCATTCCAATTCATTTGTACACTTGTAAAAAGAAAAAATGCTGCTACCTAAAAGAAAAAAGATTGTTAAACGCACTTTATATTCTATTAAACAAAAATATAGGTGATTACCTACGCGAAAGAATACAGATAAATTAAGGTTGCAGAATACTTAATGCTTATATACAATTCTTTTAGAAGCCATTTAAAAGAATCAGTTAAAAGAAAAATTTTATGAGTGTGGCTTTGATCTTATGGTAATCTCAGATGGGTTGACTAATATTTACTAATCACTTAACGTTGCGATAAACAAATCATTTAAAAATTACCTTCATATGGAATGGCATGCTTGGATGACTCATAGCAGTGTAGGAGAAACAACTGCAGGAAACCTTTATTGTACTAAGTTTAATAATGTATATTTATGGGTTAAAAATTCCTGAAAAAGAATTTCTGACGAAATCATCATAGGATCCTTTAAGACATGTGAACTATCGATTGACTTAAATAAATTAGATTCTGATTTAAAGATTATTGATAAAGACAATATTGATACTAATGATGATAATAGAGATAGTGATGATAATGACGATTATGATGATGATGATGCAAGTAATATTGATAATGACAATGATAGTGCTAGCGATTGTGTTTAATATGATAAAAATAAAATTTAAGAATCTATTATAAATATATTTTCAATTGTTTTTAAATAACAATTATAAAGTTATATTGATTTAAAGCATCATGTTACTTATTTTTAGATATAATACTATTTTTAGGGTTGCTTATTTTTAGAGGAATACGGTAACTATTAAATTAATAATATTTTAAATTGTTATAATATAAAATATATATTGATGATATCTTATGTTCATTAGGTTCAACCTTGTAACTGATATTAGAAAAAGTTGTAGGATAAAAATTATGATTTGTTACATAATAGATTTTAATACTTATACTCAAAATTCTTTTTCAGTATATAAATAGACTAATATTTTATGTCTATATGATTTAATCCTTTAGTCAATATTGGATTAATAGATATCAGATAATTATTATAATTTATTGCTTATAGCTTTTAATTTTTAAACTAGTATTAATAGTGAATTATTTAAATGTAATATTAAAATATTCTTTTAAAAAAATAAATTATTTTTATAATTATTAAATTTTAAGTATAAGATCATTTAAAAGTTAATTTTATAAAATATATTTTTATTTTTATTTTAAATCAATCAATAACTAATTAATTAAATTACTTACCTTCTTATAGCTATTATATTTTTTAAGTATTAGATTATTTAAAGATAAATTTTATAAAAAAAAATTTTTAATATTAATAGTTCTTTAAAAAAAAATTATTTAACTAATTATTATTACTTATTTTTATATAAATATTAAAATTAGGTATAATTACTAAAGATATAATAAATTTAGTTTTTTATATAATATAAATAAATTAAAAATACAATAACTATAAAATAAAAGATTATTTTGATATTAAAAAATATAAATATTTTATTAATATTATAAATCTAAATATATAACAATTTAAAATAAAATTATAAACATTATAATATATATTTAATTAAATCACAATATTAGAAGGATTATTATAATAAGTCTTTTTAAATATAGCATCACAAAACTTGTGACATATAAGAACTGTAATATATAAAACTTGTAATATATAAAATTTGTATTACGTAAACTTATAATAGCAAAACTTATAACCCTTGATATTATAAATATTAAATATTTATATATTATAAAAATTTGTCCATTTATAAATATAAATACATAACATTTTTAATTAATAAATCTTTATATTTATATGATATAATTTCAAAGAAAATTATATTTACTAATACCAAAAATATAAATTTTATCTTTATGTTTATAATAATAAAAAAAAACTCAAATTTAATATATAAATTGAATTGAAGAAAAATAAAAAATTAAAATTTATAAATCTACTATTATAAGAGTTTTTCAAAGTAATGTCAAATGTCTTATTAGTAAAATTGTCAATCTAGAAATAAAAAGATATTAGTTTATTATTGTTTTAAAATTTGAATTAGCACTTAAAATATTTATGCTATATTATTAACATTAAAATATATTAAGTAATACTATGCTAATTGAAAAAGATAAATTGCTTACTAATAGATTAGAAATTCTAGAAGATACATTGTAATTTTCTTTTAATTAATTTTATAAATTCAAAGATTATAATAGAATTTATTAGAAAAAACTTAATAAGAAAGCTGATTCTACTAATAATACTGCTATTATTGAAACTTTATTATTGTTATGCAAAAATATACAAATTATTCTTTTGAAAAAAATTAGATTCTTTTACTAATTAAAACTAAATTAAAATATAGCTATAAAATATCTTTTTAAATGTGAATAATAAAGAGTATATTATTATTATATTGTATATAAATTCAGATGGATTATATAAATTAAACTTTTAATAATTAAAAAATATGCAAAATTACAATACTTTAAGATATAAATATTTTAAACCTACTAATGATTTATTAACATAATTTTAAAGCTTAAATATTATTGATTACTTTTCAAAAATCAACTTCAAAATTTTTGATTTACAAATGTTTAGATATAATAATCAGTATGTATTATTATTTTTTGATAATTATCTATGCTACAAAATAAAAGAAATAATTTTTTCTTATGTTGATATTATTTTTTCTTTTAAATATAATATTAAAACTATAACTAATAAATACTAAAATTATTTTATCATTTAAAAATAATTATATTATTTATCAAATTCAATAAATATTCAAATAAAATGAAATTAGTAAATCTGCATAAAATTTGAAAATAAAATTTAAAAGAAATTTAATATTCTATTCAAATTTAAAATGAAATTAAAGCTAGAGTTCTGAATAAGTTGAGTTGAATCAAGTCAAATTTATTTTATAAAATCTTTCAACTTGATTTGATTCGAATTATATAAATTTTAAACTCAACTTAATTTAACTCAACTTGATTTTAACTTGACTTGATTTTGACTTGAATTTATTCAAGTTGAGTTAAGTTCAAATCAAGTTTGAGTCAATTTTAAATCAATTTATAAACATTTAATATAAAAAAATTTATACTCATCCTTATTCGTGAAAATGAAAGATCTGCTTTTAAAAAAAAGAAGTAAAAATTAAATTAAAAAATGAAAACATTAGAGAGAAGGAAAGGGAAAAAATAAATAAATAAAAATTAACATCATGCATCAAAAAAAATTAAAAAATTTAATTAAAAATGAAATCAAAAAAAATTAAAAATATAAAAAATGAAAAGATCAGAAAAAAGAAGAAAAAAATGAAAGAAAAAATAAAAATAAATTAAAAAAAAAATAAAAAAATAAAACATGGGGAGGATAAGAGAAGGAAATAATAAAAATAAATTAAAAAAGGAAAAAAAAAAGGAAAGGAGATAATAAAAATAATTAAAAAAAATTAAAAAAATAAAAAAAAAATTAATTAAAAAACAAAAAGATAAAATTAAAAACTGAATTAAAAAAATAATAAGAAAATATCAGAAAAGGAGGAGGAAAAAAAAGGGAAAAAAATAATAAAAATAAATAAAAATTTAGAATCAAAAAAAAATTAAAAATCTATTTCAAGTCAACTTGAGTCAATTTAAATTAAATTGAGTTGAGTTAAATATTTAATTTGACTTGAATTTAGTATAACTCATAAATTATCGAGTTAAAAAAATATAAACTTAACTTAATTTAAACTTGACTCAGCTTATTTGACTCATGAGTTAACTTGACTCATCCAGAATTCTAATTAAAGCTAAAATAATTCATAATTACTAATATTACATTAAAATTCTTCTTATCAATAAAAATATTAAAAAAAATTGAAAACTTAGAAAATATTTAAGAAAATAATTTACCAATCAAAGAACTTTTTGAAAAACTTGAAGCTTTTAATTTTTCTAATAATATAAAAATAGAAGAGTTTTTAATCTTTTTGATATAAATATTATTTATAAAATTCTAGATAATGATAATATTATTATAGAACTTATAAATATATTTAAAAAAACTGATAAATATTTAAATAAAGATGATGATAGTGTTAAAATTGAATTTGTTAATATAAATATAATATCAAATAATTTAAAGAATATTCACTTTAATAAGAAGGTAGTATTGAATATTTTAAGTTAATAAATATTTGTAATGCCTGTCTAAATTATTTTTATTATGACTAAACTTTCATTAAATTTTGTGTTTGACTAAACTTTTAATTAAAGTCTAAACTTTGACTAAACTTTTAACAAATGACTAAATGACTAAATTGCTTTATAATATATAAATTATAAATTTTTATTTATTTATCTTTATTAAAAAATATATTATTATTTAATATTTTATTAATTTTAACTTAAATCTTTTATTATTTATATTAATTAATATATAATCAAAAAATATTACTAATTAAAATTATAGATAATAATTATTTATATGAGGAATTTATTATGAAAATCAGGCTCTGAGAATTTTTTGATTAAAATTAAGATTTTATTACATTTAATCTAATAATATCAAAAAACTAAATGTAATAAAAATCAAATTCTTTTATTAAACTTCCTATATAGTAAACAAAATATAATAAATAATATTTTATTTACAAAATTCTAAATTTCTAAAATTTATAATAAAATAAAATATTATTAAAAATTGTGAGTTAAAATGAAAATCATATAAAATATCTATAAAAAATTCATATAAATAAAGTTTTAGCATTTTAGTATTTTAATTATTAAAAACTAAATAGTTTCAGTTTTATAATATGATTAAATATTTCAGTTTTGCTCAGCATTATTAATAAATACTTTAAAAATTTATTAAAGAAAAAAGGTTAATGAAATAAACTATTCTAAAAAAACTTTTAATAAATAAAATGATATATTATTTAGTATAACTTGAAAATTAAATTAATTTCTTATTAGATAGATTTAACTAATTTTATTTATTATACTATATAAGATCTCTGATAAATAAAAATAAAATAAAATTATAATTATTATATCATAAAAAATTTGTTAAAATATATATTTTCTATTAATATAAATGTACTCTTATTTTTAATACTGAAGAGATATATTTAAAAAAGTTTGACTATACAAGTAAAAATTTTATAAACTTATAATTTGTTAATTTGATTTTAAAATTAATTATATATTTATTTAATAAATAAAATTAAATATTAATTAATATTAATTTTTGTTTTAAAAGAAATAAATAAATATTAAAAAAATTATTAATTTTATATAAAAATTTAAAATTATATTAATTAAAAAATCATATAAAATTGTTAGATCAAGACTAAAATCTTTCAATAAATAATAATACTGATAATGATGAAGTTTAAGATATTAAAGTAAACGAAATTAAAATTATATTGAGAATTTTATAAAGATGATAAATTAAAAATTTATTTTCAAATTATTAATAAAAAAATTTCAACTAAAAAAAATCTTATAAAAGATAAAATTATAAATTAGATTCAAAAAAATGCTAAAGATAATAATAAAAACGATAATAATAAAGATCAAGAAATATCTTTAATAATTTTTAAAAGATATTAATAAATTAAAAACTTTTATTAGTTATTTTAAATAATTAAATAATCTTAAATTTAATATAGTTATATTAAGAAAGTATTTGTAATTAAAAAAAAAATAAGAAATAAAGTTAAAAAAAAAACAAAAAATTTTTAGTAATTAGTTAAACTAATTTTAGAAGAAAAAAAATAAATTGATATAGATATACTATAATTAAATAAAAAGGTTTTTTAAAAAAAAATAATAATATATACATATTTACATAAAATTTGTAAAAGTAAAAAAATGCAATTATAAAGAAATATACTTTAAATTAGAATTAAAAAAGTATATATAGAAGTAATATTTATAAGAAGATGAAAATCAAAGATATAGTAGTAAAATTTTAGATTTTTGTGTAAAATATATTAAATTTAAAAAGATTTTATTTTTAACAAAATTTTTAAAAATAGATTAGAATTTTATAAAGAAACATTATTTAATAAAAAAAATATATATAGTTTAGTATAATTATAATTATTAACTAAATAGAAATTATATGAAAAATTATAAATTTTTATAAAATTTTAAAAATTTTAAAATTCTTTATATAAATATATTTTCTTATAATAATCTTTTTTAATAGTTTTAAACCTGTAATTATAAAAGAAAATAATTGTATTTTTTTTATCATTTTTATCTAATATACTTAAAATTAAATTTAAAATATTAATAACTTTATTATTATCAATTTTATTAATTATTTTACATTTTGTTTTATATATTTTATAATTAAAAATAAAATAATTAATTTACTAATTTGTGTTCAATAATATTAATTAAATTGTTATATCATATTAAATTGTTTGGATTAGATTAGATCAGATTAAAAATTAATTTAAACTAATAATTATAATAATTTACTAATTTTAATCTAATTTTAGATTATATTAGATTTAAATATTTAAATATTAAGTTAAAAATTAGAGCTTTAGTTATAATAAAAAAAAATTGAAATAAAATGAAACGAAAAAGTTTATTTTATTTATTTATTATTAATATAATATAATTATAATAATCAATTTAGCTAATATTATGTAATAATAATTTTTAATATCAAAATTTATATTAATTAAAATTTTGTATTTATTTAAAAATTTAGTATTTAATATTTTAGCATTTTTAAATTTATAAGTTTTAGGATTTTATATAACATTTTATTAATATATAAGATGAATAAAATATATAATAAAGTAATGTTTATAAGATTATTTTTTTTTTAAATAATAATAAAATAAAAATACAATTCAAAAAGCCTAATATATTATTAATGTATAATTCTTGCAAACTATAACTATTAGACAGGGTGTTCAAATGGATTATTTTTTTAATTAAGCAATAATTTTCTAATGGTTTACAAGTTTTACTTCTAGCTGGTTATTAGAAATATTTATATAATTATTATGAACAAAGATTTAACTGACTTCAAGTAATTATATTTTTAAGATAATGTGTTTATTCACAAATAAAATAATGAAAATAAGAGAAAAGAAAAGGAAATAAAAAAATAAAGAAGTGATGAAAAAAAAGAAAAAAAAAGAAATAGAACACTGAAAATAAAAATGTAACATGATAGGTCAGTTGCCTCTAAAACTATAATATAATACGATAGACCAGTTACTTCTAAAATTATAATATAAAGTGATAGGCCAGTTGCCTCTAAAACTATAATATAATATGATAGGCCAGTTGCCTCTAAAACTATAATGTAACGTGATAGACCAGTTGCTTTTATTGTACTATCTTCTGGATTAATTACCTATGTTTATAGACCTTTAGGATTGATTACTACATCAGCTAACAATATCTCACTAGCTTTTAAAACTACTCAAACTATCTTCTTCTTCCTTTACATAAACTAACAGGTTACCTATTTATATAAAATAAAATACATAAAAAAATTTAACTAATATATTATACATGTCTATTATATCAACTAAGTCTACTTTATCTAATATATCATTTATATTGATTATATTTGATATGTCATATATGTCAGACATGTCAGAAATGTTAGATATTTTACATATGCCAGATTGATCAATCATCTGTATCACATATATTTTGCATTACATTTATCCATTTACAATATTATATTAAATTTAATAATTAATAAATAATTATAAACTATTCATATTATTACATAAAATTTATATATTATTATTAAATTTAAAATAATTTAAGATAAAAATAACTTAAAATAAAAAGTAATTTATATAGAGGTGAAAATTTTGTAAAAATATTGACAAATTATATAAAATTATATAAAGTAAAAAAATTTGTAATAATATATATTGTAATATATGATTTTTATCATATTATTAATAAATTTGATTATTACATTAATAATATACTGTATAATAAATAAAAATTATAACAAAATTAAATAATATATTTATTTTTTTAAACTTTAATTTTTTTTTATTAAAAATATGATTTTTAATAAAAATATATATAATAAAAATATTTTATTTATATTATAATTTAATTAAAATCTTTATATAATATTATTAAAATTTATTATAAATATTTTTAAATAATATTATTAAATATAATTTTCTTTATTATAATATAATAGCTTTATTAAATAGTTAATTAGTTAAAATATTTAATATAATCGTAACTATTATAATATATAATAATAAATATTAATATAATTGTTTGAAATACTAAAATTAATAAAATTGATTTTAAAAAAAATAATAAAATTAGATTAAATTTATTAATTAACCTAGTTTAAAATAACAATATATAATTTTAATATATATTATTAATAAATATTAAAAGTTAAGTAAACAAAAGATATTTAATAATAAAAGATAAACTAGATTAAAAATTTAATAAAAATTTTGCAAAATTCAATAAAAAAATATATAACAAAACATAAAAATAGTAAATTCTTAGTTAAATAATCTGCAAAAATAAAGTTTTATTAAATTTAAAATAGGTTTAAATAAACATAGTAAATAAAATTTAAATATAATTAAACATAATATAAATTGTAAAAATATAAAGAATAAAAGTAGTATTATATATATTTTAATTTTTTAACTTTTTAATATATATAAAATAATTTGAATTGTATATGTATTAATTTATTTCTTACAGAAATTTAAAAAATACTTTAATAAATATGTTTTTATTTACTTTAAAATAGATAATTCTTTAAAAATATTAATGAAAAGTATAAAATTACTTTATTCTTAATTATATACCTTATCCTTTCAGAGATATTTATGTATCACATTACAATTTCTTTAAAGACTAAAAATAATAATACAAAACTTTTTTAAATATTAAAGATGATGGTATTTTTTTTGCTTATGAATTAATCTTCTATCTCTTCTAACAAAGATTCTTATTTATTATAAATAAATCTACAATTATATGACTTTAAATAGGCTTTATATATAGTATTTATTACAAAAAATTACTTATTCATCAATCACACGATTCCTCTTCTAAAAATTGCAATTGATTTAGGTGATAGGACTATATAAGTTTCTTTTTTAAATTTTGCTGGTTGTTTTTAAGTCATGAGAAAATAAGATGATCAAAAACCTACCGAAAAACCCGACGAACAGGCCTAATGACCTTTTCTTTTTTTTTAATTTTCAAAAACAGTATAATTGTACGTATCCACATTTCGTTAAATGAACCGTCTTTGGGTGTTTGGGCACTTTGCTAAGGTCTATCAAGCAAATACAAGCATATCATCAAATGATGAAGAAATCGGGCATGAGATGAGTAACTTTAAATAAAATTGCAAAAATAAACTTAATGAGTTGAGAAAAAAACCATTCCTGACCGTATCTATCTTTCATTAAGGTAAGTTTATCTTGATTATTATATTATTATAATCATATTTCTAACTGATTTAAGAAGGATCATGTAAAGTTCGCCGATTTTTTTGTTAAAATCTTCAAAAAAAAAAAATAATGTAAGAGAAATACCAAAAGAGGTACTTAAAGAATGTTATGTTTCTAAGACCTAAAATAATATTGTTTATTTCAAATTTTAGATAATAATTTCCCGTGAATAACAATTTCTTCAATATAAATGCGCTCTTCTTCCGAATTATTTTCCATACCATATGCATTCTTAATATTTACACAAATACAATTGTTTTTTCCAGTATATTGATCATCAATTAATGTATCTACATATAACAATTTACCTGTATACATGTTCAATAGAAAAATATTTGAATTCCATAAATTATGCTTTGATATATATGGCGAAGTCTTATTACAATTATTGTTGGTGAATTTTAGAATGAATTTTTGTGTTAGAGGATTGTATGATGAGAAATTTATACTATATGATGATTGTACTAAGAAAGGAATTCCAGTATATTGCGACAATATCTAAAGACGTTAAGCATAATTAGTAAATAAATAATTAAATATATATATTTTATTAATAATCATCATTAAAAATTTAAAGATTGCATACCCGACATTTCAATTTATTCTCATAAAGAACTTTAATTTCATCAATAAAAACACTTGGAATAATCTGATTCCATTGCTTACACGTTGTTCTTAAGTGTAAAAATTGTTTTATACTTGGAGAAAAATAAATACATTTTAGTTAAACGAGTAAATTATCTGAATACAAATGAAATTTAAAAAATTAATTACCTGGATTCATGAAATAACTTGGTAAAGATGTCAATTAAAAGTTCGTTAGGTAATGTGTTTGAAGACATAATATGTGATTTATTCTGTTTAATTGTTCAAAGAAAACGAAACTGAACTTTAAATCTGTCATGCATAATTTTACGTGACGGAAATACAGAAATACGTGATTTTAGATCCACAAAATTTTCAGGGTACTTAACATATTTAGTTAAGAAGTTGCTTTTCAAATTTTTCAAATTAAATTTTTATGAATTTTATTTTATTCGTTCCTGGTCAGTTTCATGTAAATAAACAAATAAACACGGATTAAAATATTGGAATCGATTTATATATCATTTGTCAAAAAAAATTATTTGACATAATATTGTTACATTTCTTATTGTTATTCGGATCATTGAACATTTATAGCTCTGGTCAATGCGTCCTCCAGCTGTCTTCCGGATAATATGTCCTTGCTGTATTTTAAACATAAAATGATGGGTTTCTTCCTGGAAGAAAATAATCGGATCAATATAGATTTTTAGTTTAGATATTTCCCTCGAATTTCTTGAACGATAACGATAAATAAACAGCCAAAGTTAAGATTAGACATATTTTACGTTAATCAATTCTATAAATTTTCATTTCATATCGTTTATCGTTTATAAATAACAAACATATAATGTCCGAAATTACTGCGTCATTAAATTAAATAATGGAGGTGTGGAGATTTTCAATCGTGGTGTTTTGGTAATTCCATTATGCGGATCGCACGGATCGTACGCCTCAATAAGTTTAAACCTTATTCCAACAATATTTAAATTTTTTTTTACAACAATAGAAATTTTAAAATAGTTTAACCAAATATCTTTATATAAAATTCATTTTATTGAGGAGTCTGTTTGTAAAATTTGTCAAAGTTAAATCTGTTGCTTACAATCGTATTATTAGTCATGTTTCCACCATCACAGAATAACCATTCCTCAAGAACATATCCAATATGTCGTATTTGTCTTAGTAGTGAGGAACCAAAATCCTTGATTGCTCCTTGTAAATGTAAAGGTACATAGGAATCATGTATTTATCTCTAGCAAAAAGAAATTAATTTTTTAAACAATTTATTATTATTATTATGATTAAAGGGACAGTGAAATATGTTCATAAAACATGTTTAGCGCAGTGGAGAAGAAAATTGGTATCGAATGGACGACCAAAGGAATTGGACACTTGTACAATGTGTAAATTCCATTATGTCGTTAGACTGAAATCAAAAATCGGAAGTATGATAATTCGACCAGGTAATGATGAAAAAAATTTGTTTCTTTGTTTCTTTGATTTTTTTTTTCAAGGGATAATTCCTTTAACTAATTTTTCGTTATTAGAAATTCGATTTATTATAACTTGCATGTTAATTTTGATTATATTGTTCCCAAGCGGATATATAATGAAATTAATAATGTCATTAACATCAGAGATACATTTACAACGAGATGTTCATGGTGATGAAATAAATAATACAACAACATCAACCATATTATGGACATCATATCATTTTCCATTTTGCACAGCACTAGCAGCTAATCCGACGATTTCAAAAGATTATTACTCGCTCATAACTGACCTTTGGTCTAGACTGATGTGTATCGATATAATACAACATCTTCATTTAGGTTTATTTTTCCTTGGATCAACTAGTAACGTTGTTACTGCTTACTACATAATGAATGAACTTTTGAATTTATTCCATTATAATAGTGGAATCGCTAGAGCTGATGGAAAAAGCAAGGAAATTATTTTATGGGGAAGTTGTGGTGTAGTGATTCTATTCTGGTTTCATTATAGTTTATCTGCATTCCAAGTGACGACGACTCAGGTTTTTTAATTTTTTTTTTTAATCATGTAAAGTTTTTATCTTTCAAACATGAAATACCAAAAAAAAAAAAATTTTCCTTTTTATTTTTTTTAATAGGAATTTTTACACGAGTTGCCGTTATGGGTGTTGAGATGGATTACAATTAGCATGGCCGTATTTGATTTTGGATTAAGAAGGATTTATTGGCAATTAAATAAGGTTAATCTTGATGATGGGGAAGTTATGTCGATACAAAAAATGGATTTTAATGAAATCTAATTATTAATTTGTGGAGATATTTTGTTTCTTCTCATAAGTGCGGAAACAAGGAACTTTTTTTTTTTTTTATTGTATATAAGTCATTATTGAACAATTTAGTTGAACAAACTATGTATTTTAACTAAATCTTAAAGAACAATTTTTAAAATAATGTGTATTTCACTTGTCAACGTTGATTTCGTTAAAAAATGAAATCTTAAAATCCTGATATACCGGTTATATTAGTTGATTTTTTTTTTCTTTCCCTTAATTAATTTCCGCTCTCTATGGCTTTTCAATAATGGATCGTAAGCGGCAGATTCCATGTTCCAGTTTATTGTTTGGTCAACATATTATTGTCAGCGTTAATTAAGAAATTAAATAAAAGAAAAAAATTTTTTTTAATACAATTTATACTGTTCATAATCTCGAGTTGTTATATACAGTAAATAATATGTTTGATAAATACTTTCACTCATCAAATTTATTTTATTTATATACAGAATTAATTAAGAATGAATGAAAGAAGAAAGAAATATTATTGAGATTTTATTCCGACAAAAATGAATGAATGAATAAAAAAATATATATATATTAATATAAAAAAAAAAAAACAAATGACAAAACAAATTTACATATAATATCTATATAGGAAAAAAAGTTTTTTTTTTTTTTTTTTTTTTTTTTTTTTTTTATCCCATCATCCCATTTTAAAGTTAAACATGATTTATTGTATTCTTTTCAACCACCTTCTCTTCTTCAACATTCTTCTTCCTTTCTTTCTTTGAACATATAACCCAAGCCTCACCATCTAATTGATTAGAACTATTTTTCAAATTTCCACTTCCAACATTTCCATTTTGCCTACTACAATTATAAAATATAACATTCTTCTTCTCACTATCAAAATAAGTAATTATACAAGATATAAAAATATACAAGAAGACATTAATGACAAATTTAATTAAAGTTGAATTTGTAGCTTTCAATAAAATTATTTTTTCCGGTTTCTTTGAAATAAATGATAAATTTAAAATAAAAATTAACGCTGCCAAAGTAGCCGTCCAATAAACCGTAGATGATTTTAATGGACGTCGTGCGGACAGTACATTTGGTGTTGCGGTCGTTGAAGTAACGGTGTTGTTTGTTGTTGTCTCACATGTTGTTGGAGTTTCCACAGCAACGCGACGATTACGATACAATTTTAGGTAGATGAGTTGAAATATCACGTAAATTACTATCGTCATCTCTAGGATCGTCTTTGGCAATTCTAGCTTCATAAGGGTTTGATTTGTAAGTAATAAATCACATTGTTTCGTATGAACTTGATTATCTTGATTGGGGGAAGTCATCAGGATTGATACAGGTTGAACGAATATCAAAGTTGGAATCTACACGAGATAATATTCAAAATAAACGCGTTGGTCATGAGGTAAGGTCACGGGTAAGATGACGTAATGAAACTTGCGCAGCAAAAAAAAAAAAAAGACTTACGAGCAATGAAGTCTGTATTAGGAGGAACGTGACAACAATCCAAAGATCCTTTCTCTCGGAAGACATTCGGTAAAGGGTCCATAACATGAAAGCGAAGAAAGATTCACGCAATAGATGATATGAAATTAAGTACATATATCCCAACGCTTTACAGGATGTAGAAGTTACGTCCGACGGAGTCATGAAATATCCGATTGAAAGTAAGAATCTACTCAAATTTCCGAAATTGCAAATAATTCGAAGTATATCTGATGTTTTCCCATAATTCCGAGCGAAAGATTTTTTTATGGAAAGAAAAGTGTTTTGAAAGGTTACCTAGATGTGATAAGAAGAAACTTGTAAATGAAGGGGATATAAACCGTATGAAAGAATTTCAAAAAAGTAAGGTAAAAAGCCCTTACCACGGCCCCAAGACCAAGTAAAAATAACAAAAGGTAATTCTGCACAATTTTCTCCATCGTTTTGAATAATTAATTCACCTCGCTTGTAAGGAAAAAAAAAAAATTTAAAAATAAAATAAAAAGAGGCTAAAGGGAACAAAGAAAAATAAATATAGCGCGAAAAAAAAAGAAGTAATCTTACTTCTGAAACAAGAATCATTGTTTCTTTTATATTAAGCCAAGTGTATTTTTTTTTTAAAAAAAAAAAAGGTATCGTGCATACAATGTACAATGAAAGCTTCAATTCGTAATCGAACATGTTTAGTTTTAAGTATGATAATGATAATAATAATAAATTCATTGTAAAATCACAATGAAATGGTTAAATATAAATCACCATAAAATAAATTTATTATATACTGCGCCTGCTATTTTTCTTTCTAGGCATCAATTCTATACTTATTATTGTTATAAATATTTATTGATTAGTGACAAATATCAAAAATAGACACGAATTCTATATTTATGATATTGTCAAAAAAGAAGAAATTCAAAAGAATTAAGTTAATCCTGGTCAAAAAAATAGAATAATGTATCTACATTATTTATACATGTAAAGGAAAGAAACAATGAATGCATGGTATAATCCAAATGAAAAATTAATAACGTAATATTTTTTACAAACTTAGAAATCTTAAAGCAATCGTTTTATTTAAACTTGTTTTGCGGTTATAATGATTATGCGTTTTAAGAAAAGAATGCTGATTATCAGTCTTTTAGTCAGCTGAAAAAAAAGGGAATTTTGTATTATCTTTTAACAAAGAATTATTAATATTCTCAAGTTGTGAAATTCTAGGAGAGAATGGACGACTATCAAACAATAGATAAATACAATATCTATGAATAGGAACAAAAGTAATTATAACCCTTCTATATATGGAGTTTTTATATTGTGGCGAGTTGTAAGATGTTGATCAGGCAGGTTATGAAACTTGTTATTGTAAAAAGAAGTAAGGAATTTCCAAAAGTAAATAAATGGGTTAGTTACTTTACGAGAAAGAAATATTTAATGGACTCCGTTTCATGAGTTTTTTGACACAAGTATCGTTATGCAAGATTTGACAGATCTTTGGTGAATAAAAAAAAATGTGCGGGGAGTTTTAAAAAAAAACTTGCCGTGTATTTTTTTTTTTACATTTGCATGCTTTTTTTTTTTTTAAAAAAAAAAAAAGAATTGACCATTAACATTTTCGTTTCATGCAAAGAAAAAAAATTTTTTTTATGGTTGGGTTATATACATGCAGTATATGTAACGTGAATTTTTTATTCGTTCGAATTTTCGGAAAATAACGATTCAATCACGTTGACCATTTGTAAATTCGTCACATGGTAAATGCACATAATGCCGGCCAAATGTCACGTGGATGAAATTTCTGCACGTGATATCAATTGTTCGGATTTTATTTCAAATTTCGATCAGCTAACCGTGTCATCTGCTTGATTTAGCTAAAGCTTTTTGATTTAAAATTCTACAAAACGCCGAATTCCGAAAATAAAAAACAAAATTTTCTTTTTTAAAACAAATTTTCCCTTTTTGTTTGTAGTAATTTAAATACTAACATTTGATAAATAATAATTCTATAATAAATTATTTAATCTTTTGAAGTTTAAGTGTCACTTTATTTACCAATGCGTCACTTTTAAACGGCAGTTTGCAAATCATCTACAAAATTTTCTTTCTCAGTTTTTAAATGAAAAAAAAAATCTTTTCTTTTAGTTGATAAACATAAGTAACGAACATTTTATTGGTAAGTTATGTCGATCATAAATTAAATCATGTGATCGCAATTTTTAGGGGTAGCGACCGCAGCTAGCATTTATAAATATTACTATAAATATCTTTCATCTTAAATTTTTTTTTTTTTTACAAAAAAAAATTTAGCCGGATTCATTCTTATTCATCCAATATTACGAGAAAAATATTTCTTTGTTTCTGAAAGTATTTTAGGTTATAAGCACTTTATTATAGAATAGAAATGAGTCAAGCAGCAGCGGACGCTACTGATAGGAACGTGGAAATATGGAAAGTTAAAAAATTGATCAAAAGCTTGGAAGCTGCTAGGGGGTATGTTTTTAACTTTTATATTTTCTTGATATCCTCTTAATTTTTTTTGTCTTTTATAACTCTATCTTACAAACGTATTTAATGGCTTTTCGTAGAAATGGAACTTCTATGATATCCCTAATCATTCGTATGTTTAACATTAGACTAAAGTTTGTAATAATTGTGTTTAAAGTATCTGATCAACTTAAATGCTTTATTCCTTATAGCACCCAAGGATCAAATTTCACGTATAGCTAAAATGTTGGCTGACGAATACGGTACGGCTTCCAACATCAAGTCTCGTGTCAATCGTTTATCTGTGTTGGCTGCGATTACTTCAACACAACAGAGACTAAAATTATACACAAAAGGTATACATTCTCCTTTCAATCTGCCATACGTGTAATCGAAATCTGTGAATTTTATCCTTATTCTAACGTATATTTTCTTTATGATTCAAGTCCCAACCAATGGTCTCGTAGTTTATTGCGGCACAATTGTTACCGAAGAAGGAAAGGAGAAGAAAGTTAACATTGATTTCGAACCTTTTAAGCCCATCAATACTTCCTTGTATCTTTGTGATAACAAGTTTCATACAGAAGCTTTGTCGGAGTTGCTTGAATCAGATAACAAATTCGGATTTATTATTATGGACGGTAACGGTGCCCTGTTCGGTACCTTGAGTGGTAACACTAGAGAAGTCATTCATAAATTTGCTGTGGAATTGCCAAAGAAACACGGTTTGTTTTAACTTTTTAATCATATTTAATTTTATATGATGTGATCAATTGAATTAACAATTGTTCCGTTACAGGCAGGGGTGGTCAATCCGCTTTGCGTTTTGCACGTCTTCGTGAAGAAAAACGACACAATTATGTTCGAAAGGTCGCCGAATTGGCGGTTCAGTTTTATATTACTTCTGATAAGGTATATAATTTATATTTCATTCCTTTTTTTTAATTGAGAATTCGCTGAATTCGCTTCAATCATGTAATAATTTTGATTTAATCTTTAGGTTAACGTCACCGGCCTTATTCTTGCCGGCTCTGCTGACTTTAAGACTGAGCTATCTCAATCAGATATGTTTGATAATCGTCTCCAAACTAAGGTTATCAAATTAGTTGACGTTTCTTATGGAGGAGAGAATGGTTTTAACCAGGTATTTAATGGAACTAAATTAAAATTTTTATTTTTGTTTTCCTAATTTTCTCATCATTATTATTATTGTAATAAGGCTATTGAACTTGCTGCCGAGAGTTTGGCTAATGTCAAATTTATTCAAGAAAAGAAACTCATTCAGAAATATTTTGACGAGATTTCTCAAGATACTGGAAAATATTGTTTTGGTGTTGATGATACTTTAAAAGGTCTGGAGTTGGGTGCTGTAGAAACTCTTATTGTTTGGGAAAATTTGGACGTTACTCGTTTTACCTTGAAGAATGCTTCTGGTGGTAAGTCTGAATCAATCTATTTTCTTCATTCTAAAGTGTGCATAATATTAATAAATATATTACGGATAATGATATCTAGTCGAAGTCATTATTCACGTGACTAAAGAGCAAGAAAAGGATCGGAGCCATTTCATTGATAAAGAAACCAATTTGGAAATGGAAGTTTCTGATAGGATCCCACTTTTGGAGTGGTTCGCAGACCATTACAAGGATTTTGGTGCCAATTTGGAATTCGTTACCAATCGATCTCAAGAAGGTTCTCAATTCGTCAAGGGATTTGGTGGCATTGGCGGTTTGCTTCGTTATAAGGTCGATTTCGACACGTTAAATTATGACAGTGAAGAAGACGGTTTCCTTTCTGGTAAGTGGCAATCATAAAATGAAACTCATGTTTAGTATATCAATTTGTTCTTTTAATTAACGTTCTGGCTTAATTCATTTTAGATTGACAATATACTGCTGATCATCCAAAAAGAGGCGTAGAGGGGATCGCGACCGGCTGCGTTCCGGCCATCGGAGTTGTATTGCGTGGAGATGTCGTCATTTGTAAAATAAGGTATTTTTTTTTTTTTAAAAAAAAAAAAAGGTAAACTTATATTCGGTGTTCACAGACTATCGTCCGGATATTTATTAAAATTTTTTTTTCATTATGTTTAGATAATGAGCAGTATTAAGCAAAATTTAAATCCATTTGCAAAAAAAAAAAAAAAAACCAAAAAAAAACCCCCCCCCCCCAAAATTATCTTCTTTTTTAACGTGATCGTACCGGCCACCAACTAGAATGAATTAAATAATTATTATATTGCTCTTTGAATGTTATGTAATGTGGTTGTGATGTGGGAGTTTCGTTAATCCCCTCATGTCTCTTTGCTTTGGAAAGGCTTTGAATGATGCTTTATAATTAACATGTTATTTTAATGAATCAATTATGAATCAACAAATATATATGGCCAACTTAATACCCAATAGCGATCAGCAAAGTCATAGTCTCTTTTTGGAATCGATCATATTTTACTCTGCTTTTTGTTCTTTTAACCATTATTGATGAAATTAAATTTTCAGTTGGTTTTTCATTTACTTTTCATTTTTTTTCTTTATATCTTGGCTTTATTTTTTTTTTACCATTACCTAATAAAATTGTTCTTTCTGAGGGTCGAGTCAATTATTCAAATTATTTATTTTTCACCTTTTATAAAAGCAAAGATTTAACTAAATATAAATTGCACTCTAAAAGTGCTCTAAATGATCCAAGAATTCGGGATAACAGTTTAAGGTTATATTAATATTAACAAAAGTTATTAAACCCTTAATATTATTATTCTCCAGGTGGAAAACTATCATTTTAACGAAGGTAAGGTCTAAACGTGTGCGAAATATAACAGATATTTCTGACAAGATCAAGAATCTTTCATAACCCATGGTGTTGCCAAAGATGCACTAGTTGATGTTGTTAAGGAATTTTGGGAGGTAATTACCTTTTTTTTTTATTGCTGTTATGATGTCATTTAGATTTTTAAAATTTACGTTTATTTTAATGATTATGATTAGACAAGTGTCTAATGAAGAAATTATGGCTATCGGCAATGATTTAATATTCAATATCGTTCCCTATAAATGTGCCATCGTCTAAGGTATATATAGATCGATCTTTCTTTTTTTATTATGATATCATTTTGCAAATTTTCAATATTATTTTTTCTATTCAACCCAGATTCTAAATACTGTGGAATTGATTATTTCAAAATCACATGATTTGATCGTCTGTTAGTTCGACATTCATCATATTGGAATTATATATCTACGGATACTTTGGAATTTTATTATGATGTTCATGTTGATTTTGACAATTGGCTATTGATGCTTTTCTTCAAAGGTGAGACAACTTATATCCAATGAATTTTTTTTTTCCTAAAAAAAAGATACAAACTCTCACGTAATTGACAATTTAGGCTGGAGAAACGAATGAATTTCCTATTACACTTGTACCCTTGAAACCGGGCACCTTCTTGTTCCTCTTATAAGAGTTACTATTCTTGATTCACATACATTTTCTGAAACTATTTATTTAAACAATGCTGAACAAGTTCTTGTTCGACCTCGTACGCAATC